GTCTGACATTGGGATGGGAGAGGACTGGGAACTCTATTGATTCAAAAAAAGCAGAGGACGTACTTGAGAATCTGCAACCTTCCAAAACCTTAAAGGAGTTGTCAATCTTTAACCATGGTGAGAATAAATTTCCAAACTGGTTGCAACAAACTTCAATTTGGAATATGGTGTCGTTAGAGTTGGACAAATGTAAATCTTGCCAAAGTTTACCTCCGCTTGGTCTTTTGCCATTCCTCAAGAAGCTGGTGATTTCAGGGTTTGATCAGATAGTGAATGTTGATGCTGATTTTCATGGGAAGAACTCTTCTTCGTTTAAATCTCTTGAAACATTGTATTTCTCCGATATGAGACAATGGGAAAAATGGGAATGTAAAGTTGTGACAGGTGCTTATCCATGTCTACAACATCTTTCTATAAGCTTTTGTCCCAAACTAAAAGGACAATTGCCAGAGCAACTTGTTCCTTTGGAAACACTACACATTACAAACTGCGAACAACTTGAGGCTTTCGCTCCAAGGGCTCTAGATTTAGAACTACGTAACTGTGGAAAGCTACAATTGGATTCGGCCATGAAAAGGCTCGTAATGGGTGGGCACAACACGGAAGCATCCTTGCTGGAAATGGTTGGATCTAACACTCTTGAGCACTTGGACATTTCTTCATCCCTGGAGTCCATGAGTGATGACTGTGTCTTTGTAAGGACCATTTCACTAGATTTCTTTCCAATACTCAGGACCCTTAATCTTAGAGGGTTTGGTAATCTACAGAAGGTTTTACAGGATCACGCTCATTATCATCTCCAGGATCTGACAATCAAAAAATGTCCTAAATTTGAATCATTATCTGGAATCATGCATATGTTGTCTCTCAAATCACTATGGATAGAAGATTGTCCGAGACTTGTGTCGTTTCCTGATGGAGGTTTGCCATCAAATCTAAATGACATGAGACTGAGTAATTGTTCTAGACTTGTTTGCTCACTGAAAGGAGCTTTCGGAGACCGTTCTTCTTTGGAAAGCTTGTGGATTGAAGGAATGGATGCAGAATGTTTTCCTGGTGAAGGCTTGCTTCCACTCTCTCTTACTTCTTTAACAATATGTGATTGTCCAAATCTAGAAAAGTTAGATTATAAAGGTCTTTATCAACTCTCATCTCTCAGAAGACTGACTCTTGTTAGCTGCCCTAACCTCCAATGCTTACCAGAGGAAGGTCTTCCAAGATCAATTTCATATCTTTGTATAGGCGATTGTCCTTTGCTCGAACAGCGTTGCCAGACAGAAGGAGGGGAAGATTGGGAAAAGATTGCTCACATTCAAAATCTGAATATATTGTAATGTTGTTTGTTTTGAATAGTGATGCATTTGGTCGGCTACAATTTATTTAAGATCATGAAATGGCAAATTGTAATATTATTTTAATATTTTGTCCGTTCAACGCGGTAGCTTAGTTGTGGTTTGTCGGCGTCGTCTTGTCGTTGTGTGATCGTTGTTGCTTTGGTCTCACGTGTTCGTTGTTAACGGTTTCTTTTGTTGGTGGAGGAGTGGACTGATCTTCCTCCTTGTCGCAGGTGTAGGGATCTTTGACGCTCTCTGCAGTTTGATAAAATACAATACTGCACCTATTTGCATCAAGTATAATGCAAATTCTTAAAGAGTATAAAAAAATTTAAAAATAAAAAATGTAATATAAGTTTTAGAATATTGTAGAAAAGTTTAAGATATAAAGGAGAAAAAAATAAAAGATAAAAATTTAGAATATTTCACGTAATAAATTGTAGCTAACATTTTTAAGAATAATTTATAAATCTATAAATGTTTATGTATTTTATTATTTGATGTAAGACAACATTTATTACAACTATGACAATTTTCTTTTAATTACTATTTTCACATTTTACTATCTTTACATTTTCTCTATTCTATCAACTATTTCTTTTGAGAATTCAAGTGTGAGTCTAAGTCTCACGTTGGATAGAAAGTTTTGGATAGAGAGTGGTGTCAATCCTTTATATGGTTGGACTCATATTTCATTGGTATTGTGTCTCCCGAACAAAGATTGAAAAGACATGAAAAAGACTTAGTCAAAAATGTCTTTCAACCAAAACTAAAATTACCGTCTCAGAATAAAGAATATGAAGGAAATAAAAGTAGTGAAGAAATTTCTATAAATAAAGAAAATTCTAGAAGTTTCTTTATGACTAGTCAAGGAAAATATCCTCCATATGGCATCTGTAGAGAAGTATTGTCGTAATAAAAATAAGCATAAAGCAAACTTTACTGAAGAACATAATATACTAGTCAAGAATCTCCTAATGGAGAAGGGAGTTGATACTTGGACAGTGGATGCAACAATCACATGGCGAAAAATTAAAGCATCTTCAAAGACATTGTTAAATCTGTCAAAGTTTGAGTGTGGGTACAACATAGGAAGGAAAGATTTCCTTCCAAAAGAAAATCTAAGCTCCTACCTAGAAGATGGACTTTTTCAAGTTCTTAAGAAAATTAATGATAACGCTTACATTATACATCTACCTAATGATTATGGAGAAAGTTCTAATTTCAAAATTAATGATTTGACTCCATTTGATGTAGTAATTTGGGGACAAATTCGCTTCAAGGAAGGAATAATAGAGGAATGTCCCTTGATCGTTTAGAAGACGAACTTGAGGAAGAGCCTTTGCATATCAAAGGACCTAAGAGAAGGTCAAGGAGAAAACAATTAGAACAATAGATCTCCTTTAGCCTCACGATGCTCCATGAAGATTGAAATTTAAGAGACATGAAGATCATGGCTTGAAGCATAATTATAAAATAATTTAGGAAATTAAAAATATTTGCAATTTTCTTTTAATGGAAAATAATTGGTTTCTGTTTATTTTTTTTAATTTTTGAATTATTTTTGGGCTTAATGTATTTTGGGCTTTCTTTTGGAGTTTCTTAGGTGCCTTAAAATTTTTGTGCTTGTATATAGGGATACAAAATACATATGTAGACACTTTTGAATCATAATATATGCATTTGCATTTTTTAGAGAGAATTCTTTGGTTCTTGGATTAAAACTCTGATTCTTATAAATGATTAATATCTTTGTGGCTAATCTTCACTTGACTTATCAATGCTAGATTGTCATGTCCCCATCTCTGTCTTGTTCCGCATTATTCTCTGGTTTATTTTTGTTGTACTCCTTGAGAATTCACATTTAGAGAAGATTGTACTCTTTCCTAGACAGGATCATATCATTTATTAGTTTAGTTTTAATACTTTTCGATTTGATAACTTTAGTTTTAGTCTTAGTTTTTATTAGTTCATACTTTTAATCTTGAAACTATGCTGGAAACATTCAATACAAAATATTGTGCTAGATGTTTTTTGTTTTCTAGGTTAGGAAAAATTGTAAAAACAAATAAATTATTTTAAAAAAGTGCTACAATTGACGTTTATTAGTACACTAAAAGACATCAATTAACATTGGTCTTCTTGGGAATAAAGTGTGAATCTAAGTCTCACATTGGATAGAAATGAGAAAGTAGTACACTATATAAAGATGAAAGATCCATTAACCCATTGCGTTAAGGTTTTGGATAGAGAGTGATGTTAATCCTTTATATGATTGAGCTTAGATGTCATTGGTGTTTGTGTCTCTCAGAGAGTGATGTTAATCCTTTATATGATTGAGCTTAGATGTCATTGGTGTTTGTGTCTCTTAGGTAACAGGTCTATATCATAACCAACCCCAATTACTTGATTTTCCATTCCGGAGTTAAATTGACTTCTCTAGCTAAGATGTTAGAGTTTAGACTAACTTCAAATATATATAAAAAATAATGGATGTCAAAACTCATTTTTGTAGTAGTGATTGAATTTTCAAAGTATGTTTTTGCATAGTACCTATTTTAAAAAATAAATAAATGATATTTTGACAAACATAAATTTTTTACATTTATTTGACACTTTCCTTTCTTTTTTTTTTTTTTTCTTATAACTACAAAAAAATTCACCCTATTTTATCTTTTATTACGCGTGTTAAATGAAGGTAAACTTTTCTAATCCTACCATACTCTAATAAATATGATGGAAATAAATATTCATTGATGGAAAACAGCTGTGTAAATTTGTGTTGACGGGAAGACTTTAAATTTATTGGTTGATTATTATGGTCTTCGAACAAAATTACCTTCTACACTGCATTATTCAATGGATTGTGATTCTCTTTCAATTTACTCATTTCCGTTCATCTGCATATTCCGTTTTTCTGTATCCATCTTCCATTAAATAGTTTTTCATCTAGATTA